CTGAGGGAGGAGAGGAACGAAGGTGGCTAAGAACTTGTGCCAAGAAGAAGAAAGCACCTGCGTGACAAGAGGATAAGTATAACAGTATATGCATATAAAGGAAATATTACTCGTTCTACTGGTGCACACGAATCTTAAACTCTCTCACTCAAACATTACTTTATTTTTTACGGGTATCCTTCTCCGTAATTTGAGTTAACCACCTGACACTTCTACAAATTTCTCACGCCCGCACCGGCATTAAAAATGGCACTACACTCAAAACAAAAACCCAAGCGTAATCTTGAACATTTTAACTGCTGAAACACCCACTTCATGCATGCCCCCCCCCCCCCGCCGGTCCACCCACGTTACTGCAACACACGCCGTAAAAATAGAGAGAAAGAAAGAAAAGGGCAAAAATTATGATGATGAGGAAGAAAACACCAATTCTCGAATCCTAAAAGATACGAGGGTACGCAACGACCGAGAAGCCTTTGTTATCCTTCGTGTGTGACGCTACTGAGGTTCTGCCGACTCATGGCCCTCCCTTCAGTGCCAAGCGCTCGGCAACACAACGTCCAATATCGGTCGGAATAAAGATAAAAATGTAAAAGAGCGCCCAGGTCCAATGCGATGTCCTTCAACACTTGTTTCGTTTATATTTTGATATATTCGCCTATGGTTCAGTGTCCTTTGGTGTCACCCGAATTACGTTTAAGCAGCAGGATGGACTCGCTCATATGATATAAATATATACATATATATGCATATATACATACATATATATATATAATATAATATATATAATATATATATATATATATATACACAAATATATATACATATATATACACACAAACACATACATATATATACACACAAACATGTATCCATATTATATACATATATACAAATATATACATATACACACACACACATATATATACACACATACATATGTATGATATATATACATATAGATAAACATATATATACACATACATAATATATATATATACATATATATATACATATATATATATATATATATATATATATATAGATAGATAGATAGATATAGATATTGATAGATACGCACAAATATATGCATATATATACATAAAGATGTATATACATATAGATATAAATATACATATGTATATATACATATATATATATACAGAAATAGATATACATATACTTAGATATACATACAATACATATATATAGATATATATACATATACATATACATATATATACAAATATATATACACGTATATATACATACATATATATACCCAATATATACACATATACATGTATATACACATACAAATATATACACACATATACAAATATATAATATATAATATATATACTAATATATACATACAAATACATATACATATATATACAAATATATATATACATATACATACAAATATATATATACATATATATATACAAATATATATATATAATATACAAATATATATATATTACATATATTATAAATATATATATATATATACAATATACAAATATATATATACATATACATATATATATATATATACATAATATAATATACAATATATATATATATATTATATATATAATATATACATATTATATATATACATATATATACAAATATATATATACAAATATATATATAAATATATATATATACAATATATATATATACATATACATATACATATATATACAATATATATATATATATATATATATATATATATATATACATATACATATAATATACAATATATATATATATGTATATACATATACATACACATATATATATTATACCATATATATATATATATATATACATATTATATATAAATACATATATATACAAATATATATATATACATATATATACAAATACATATATATACAAATATATATATACATATATATATATAATATATATATATATATATATATATATACATATATATATATATATATATATATATATATATAAACATATATATATATATATACATATATAATATATATATACATATATATATATATATATGCATACATATACAAATATATATATATATATATATATATATATTATATATACATAATATATATCATATATATAACATATCATATGCATATATATACATATATATCATACATACATTATATACATAAATATATAAATACCATATATATATATACATATATTCATATATATGCTTATATAGATATACACAAACATGCCAATAAATGCATATACATGTACACACACACACACACACACATATATATATGTATGCATAAATGATATCGCCCAATGCTCCTGGAGGAAAGACATCGACGAATGCCAAAAGAGAAAGGAGGCGCAAGGAAAGGAACGTCAGTCAGCAAAGGGGAAAAAGAGAAAGGAAAAAGGGTAGAGAAGGACCAGGAGGGAAGGGGAGGATGAAGGGGTGGTAAGAAGGGAAGACTAGACGTGAGAAAGGAAGAGGGAAGAGACGAAGAAGTGGGGTAAAAGAGGACGGGAGGATCGGAAGACGAACGGGGAGGGAGAGAAGAGAAAAGATAAAACAGGAGGGAGTAAAAAATGAGAAAAGAGCGGGAAGGTCAGGAAGAAAACAGTAAAAATGAAAACAGAGGGGAGGGAGTAAAAAAAATCGAAAATTGAGATGCAACAACGGGTGGCTCGCCTGGAAACAGCTCGGTACGAAACAGGGATATCTCACGCAAAGGCTCGGTCTCTGCCACATGCTATTCCCCTAAAATCCCCGGGGATTAAGTCTATAACCACCCTCTTGCCCCTCCTTTCCCCTCCCCTCCCTCATCGCGTTGCAATAAACAATAATAGAAAAAAGGGAGACGAGAAACTCAAAAATGCAAACCCCTCTCAAATACGTAATGACCCGTCATCACAGACAAATTGCCAAATAATAAGAACACGGGATAAAGGCATAGTCGCGTCCCCAAGTCGTTCGGAAGGCAGGTGCAGGGGGCGGAGGAGGGAGGAGGGACAGGTGTTGGGGGCAGTGGAGGGAGGAGGGACACGAGGGGGATGTGGGGGCGGGTTGGGCAGTCGCAGGGGGCAGTGGAGGGAGGGGTATGAGTAGGGGTCAGGGGAGGGGGAGGTGGGGGCGGGAGGAGCAGGTGATAGGGTAGAGGAGGGAGGAGGGACGGGAAGAGTATGTGCAGGGGGCAATGGAGGGAGGAGGGAAGGGAGGGGCAGGTGCAGAGGGCAGTGGAAGTACGGGAGGTGACGAGGGGAGGGAGGGATGAGAACGGGTAGGCAGAGAAGGGGAGGGGATGAAGAGGTGGAAGGGGGGATGACACACCAAACAGCAATTACGAGGGAGACCGTCCATGCGCGAGTTGCCAGGTACTCATTTTGGGGTGTTTTTCTACAATATAATGGGGTATTTACACCCAATTCCGGGCTTGGATTTTTACCGATGCACTGCGGAAACCGTGATATTTCGAAATGGATTATTCGACGCGTGATAACAGGGCCACCCCATAAAAAAGGAGAAAAATAAAGAAAACGCAAACGAAGCAAGGGAGAAAAAAGAAAAGAAAAGTACAGAAAAATGAAGCTTGTCCACTGCATCGCGCCAAGAGGCTCGTTTCGTTGCGTGAGAGCTCGCCAAATGTGTCGTCGGTCCACCCGGCCAATCAGGAGCCGTGGGACGCTCCGCCCACTCCGCCTCTCCGCTAATCAGCACGCACAGAGCGGCCCACCAATCATGTCGCTCGCATGGCCGGTTTAATTAGGAGGGTCAGGTAATTAACCGCCTGCCCTCTTCGCAAGCAGGTATGGCACATTAGATTCGCATGTAATTCTGCAAGAAAAAGAGGAAAAATACAAATCATATCCAACTGATAAATCGGACAAGGAATGAGCTTTGTTATCATCTCTCCAGGAATAAACGTTGACAAGTGATCAATGTAAACAAACCAGATTGGCCGCTCAAGAATCGTGTCACGAAACAAATTTCGAGATCTGAAGAAGCAAATCTGTTTAGTCCTGCTTGCACGCACTTCGAATGACAAAGAAGAATGACTCATCTACTTCTTATACCACGGACACATTGCCTTAACCACAAATAACAGTCACATATAACGTTGGTTCTTAATAACCGTGTACTACAACGGAAATAAGATAAATTCTAGGAGTCAACAAAAAATATCCAAACATAATATGCTTCAAAATTTATTATAACAAGTCGCAAAGGCCCTCCCCACAATCAATAGGAATAATATTCTTGTTAATAAATACATATATGTGTACATATATAAATATACATATAAACATAGATATAAATATATATAAATACATAAATACACACACATGCGTATATGTGCATATATATATATATATATATATATATATATATATATATATATATATATATATATATATATATATATATATGTGTGTGTGGTGTGTGTTGTGTGTGTGTGTGTGTGTGTGTGTGGTGTGTGTGTGTGTGTGTGTGTACATATATACATATATATGTATTATGTATTTATGTATGTATATGCATATACGTACGTACACACACACAGACACACACACACACACACACACACACACACACACACACACACACACACACACACACACACACACACACACTATATCTATCTATCTATCTATCTATCTATCTATGTATCTTCTATCTAATCTATCTATATATATATATATATATATATATATATATATATGTATGTATACATATGTATATGTGTATATATATATATAATATATATATAATATATACATATACATATATATATATTATATATATATATATATATATATATATATATATATATATATATATATATAGAGAGAGAGAGAGAGAGAGAGAGAGAGAGAGAGAGAGAGAGAGAGAGAGAGAGAGAGAGAGAGAGAGAGAGAGAGAGAGAGAGAGAGAGAGAGAGAGAGAGAGAGGAAGGGAAGGGGGGGGGAGATAGATAGATAGATAGATAGATAGA